AAGCTGGCATAAGTGTATTATATCTGGGGGGGACTACTTTGAAGGGGACCACATTAATGTAGACGAATAAATAAATATTTTTTTGAAAAAACGAAAATTCCGGGTACTTTTTGAACAGACCTCGTATGCACATCAAATTGCCAGATATTTTATAGAGATTTTAACAATAAGTATAAATTTGTTTACATTCCTATGGGTTCCGTACCAATGTTTATCTGTTAGACGGCGATGCAGCGCTTACGCGCTTTGACATTTCGTCTCTATGCAGTTAAAGCAGTACGATTGCTTTCAAAAAAAGTTCAGAATTTCCAAAATATGTCAAAATAAAGAAAACATTATTTTCAATAATTTTTTTTCTCAAAAAAAGTAATTTTTTGTCAAATTTATAGTTTCTCAAAAATCTAATTTTTTCGAAGTAAATTTTTTTCAAAAATGTTAATCGTTTTTAAAAAAATAATAATTTTTAGTACGGGAAGTTCCAGCAATTTGCTTTAAGGCACAATGCCATGCGCCCCACTAGTTTTTAATTTATTCTCTTTGGTCATCTTAGAGACAAAGAGACATTATTGTGAAAATAACATGTTGAATGTTTGATCTCTCTAAAAATATACTCTATGCTTTCTACTGTCAACCCTAATGTCAAACAAGTAATATTTTCCTTTTTATTTACCAGTATGATCATAATTAAATTCATTATCATATTTAAGATTATTAATTAAAAAGATAATTAAGATCATAAATTAAAATAGATAAATAAATACTTACTGAATATATGCGCAATGCAAATATCTAAAAATGTCAGACAAAACAACTTTCTCTGTAGAGGAGCAGTCAATTAAAATTGAGCCTCTAGAGTACTCAGTAGAGGACGTTAATCGTGATGCTGAAGTTGACCTTAACAGTCCTGGTGGTTTTAGGTCCGAATCGTGTCCAGGGGGTGATGAAACGTGTTTAGAAAATTTCATGAAGTCAGAAGTGACTATCGAGGAAGAAGTTAAACAGGATATAATTAAGACACCTGCTTATAAATGTGACATTTGTAATAGATCATTTACAGAATCTCATAATCTAGAAGAGCACATGGTCGATCATATGCCTAGTCACAGCAAAGAACGTCCTTTCAAATGCGAAATCTGTTCCAAAGCTTTCAAACTATCAAGCACATTGAAATCACACATGTTTACACACTCTGAAGAACGACCCTTTAAATGTGATATATGCGATAAGGCGTTTAATCAAAAAAGCAATCTAAGAACACACATGCTTATCCATACAGAAGAACGCCGTTTTAAATGCGAACTATGCAATCAGACATTTAAACGATTGATCAATTTGAAAAATCACATGTCCATTCATAGTGATGAACGCTCCCATGAATGCGAAACATGCAATAAGTCATTCAAACGATTGACTACTTTGAAATATCACATGCTCATTCACAGTGGTAAGCGTCCCCATGAATGCAAAATATGCAATCAGACATTTACACAGTCAAGTGGTCTGAAAAGGCATATGGTCACCCATTCAGGAGAGCGCCCTTTTAAATGTGAAATATGCAGTCGGACATTCAGCCAACCATATACTTTAAAACAGCACATGCTTGCTCATGAAGGAAAATATTCTTATAAATGCAATATATGTGATCAGGCTTTCACGCAGTCAAGTGGTCTGAAAAGGCACATGGCCACTCATTCTGGAGAGCGCCTTTTTGAATGTGGAATATGTAATCTGACATTCAGCCAATCATATAATTTGAAGAAACACATGCTGGTACATGAAGGAGGACATTCTGATAAGAATAAATGTGGAATTTGCAGTAAGGCATTCTATCATAAAAGCAAGTTGGCAAAACACATGATTACCCATGAAGCAAAACTCGAACAGGCTGCAGAAAAATAGTTGATTGAATATTAGTAAGTAGGAACTAATTCTAAATAACTTGAGTTTAGTATTAAGGGAATCAAAGCAGACATTATTTTTTGACTATTTTGTCTATTTTATTACATGGTCTATTTGTAATAAATCATTTTCACCTTCAATTGTGCTATTCAAAACAAAAAAGAATGTGCATAAGGTTCACACTTGATTGAAGTAAAACTTTTTTGCTATTATATGAGCTGGCATTTAAGTAAAATAAAAACATCATATAACAATTTTGAATAATGTTTATTAGTAATATGGTAACACTCGTGATGCACACATTTATTAGTCCATTATACACATTTATATAATGATAAATTATATATTTATAATAGCATTAAAAATATGTATAATATTTAAAAACAATAATGTAATTAAAGTCATACTTTAAATATGACATGATCGGTTTGTCATTGTAATTAGCATTTAGAAATGAACCTTCATTAGAGAAATGAAGTGATTGCTGATTAATAAATTCTATAATATTCCTTCAAACAGTGGATTATGCTATACAATGCCTAAACAAATATTGTTTTTGCCGCTTCATTTATCATGTAACAATTGTGTTTGAAGAACTTCATGTAATTAAAATTAACATACATTCATTGACTGCTTGTATTTTTTTTTTACTTTTTCGCTGGCTATATAATCTCATTCTCTGAACAGCTCTAATATCTGTCTTGTCTAAAAAATATTTTCCATTTTAATAACTTCAAAGACTTATGTTTATTGATTAGCACAAATGTTTACTTTGTTTTGTTATTTTCAAGGAACAGGGTAAAATATTCTTCTGATTCAAGCATTTTTCATTAAATCAAGATTTGTACTACGATGCAACTTTAAAATGTTTATTTATCTATGCCGATTTTCTTGTCGGTACGCATACAACGGCCGATCTCTATTCACACATTTCATCGAGAGCGAATGACAAACAGTTCGGACGTAACGCTATTTCCGTTGCATTTGTACCGATTTACACCCTAGTCATGCCTAAAGAAGTTTTATTTCAAAAAGTGTGCGTAAGGTTCACACACGATTGAAGTAAAACTTTTTTTGCTATGGTTTTTATTAGTAATATGGTAACACTCGTGATACACACATTTTTTAATGTCAAATATTATACATATTTGACAATAAAAATTATAAATTATATATTTATAATAGCATTTGGACAAAATTGTTTGACATTTTTTATGTAATGACATGTTATGATGTTAAATGTAATGTTATATAAACATTTGTAATTCAAATGTCCCGCCATTATTATTAGTGTGTTGGTAATGGTGTTTTTCTTCCACCATTTTTATCATGTTAAAAACTATGTAAAATAAACTATCGTGCCCTTCAGTAAGCCAAACAAGTAACATTAAAATAAATTAGTATATTTGAAGAAAGCTTTTTATTTTTCCCAGCACTAAATTTTTTTTATTATATTTGAAAACAATAATGTAATTAAAGTCATACTTCAAATATGATACGATCGGTTTGTCATTGTAATTAGCATTTAGGATTTGAACCATTATAAGAGAGATGAAGTTATTGTTGATCAATAAATTTTATAATATTTGTTCCCGCAGTGGACAACTGTAATATAATCTTAAGTAAATTTATTAACACTAGCAATAAATAAACTGCATAGATGTCCATTATGAAGTATATCTGTATATAAATGTACACAGCTGCACAAATTGTTGTTGTGCTTGATCTCTTGTTTAGAGTAATAAATCTGAAATTCAATTTATTCTTCATTATTTATAAAAATATGCAATCTTGTAATACTTATAAGCCATTATAAACGAAAAACATGTAGACTTCATCTAAACTTCCAAAAGTGTTAGAAAAAGATATATTTTCCGCATGAAAGAATAAAGATGTACTGCTTCAATAATTTTTATTATCTATAAAAATGCAGAGAATTATTATGTTAAACAACGCCTAAAGAAATATTGTTTTCACAATTTTACTTATCATGTAATTGTGTTTGAAGAACTTCGTGAAATTAAAATTAACATACATTCATTGACTGCTTTTTTTTTTACTTTTTCGCTGGCGATACCGTCTCCTCTTTGAGCAGCTGTAGTATGTGTGTTGCCTATAAAATTAATTTCTGAAAATATATAGTTACCACGAATAATACCAATTACTTCAATAAACTTGCATTTCTTACACGGCACAGATTTTTCATTTGTTTTATTATACAATAAAAAAGCCCTCTGACGCGACTCGACGACCAATCACAATCGACCCGTTTAGAAATGATATCATCGAGAGCGAATGACAAATCATTGGCACTCGACTCGGCCGTAACGCTTTTTCCGTTGCACAGGTTTACTCCCTATTTAAAAATCGTCTACATTCAAAAAACAAAATCTTCGCCCAGTAAACATGCGATATGGCCACAACATCGTGGCAATATTTTATTTAGGTCGTGTGACATGCGGTTCCCATATTCATTGTCCTCGATATTTAATGGATACGGCCGCAAATTTATGTAACTATCGAACAACTATCGAGGTTCGGTCTCTGGCGCACGTGGCGTTCGTGATACATGAAAATCGACGTTGACCACATATGTTTGTTTATTATGATAAGACCGTCTGACGTAAGGCGTTCACCCCAGTCATGACGTCATTGGCGAATGAAAACGATTCGGTCATGACGTCATACAAAATGGCGACTCATGACGTAATAGCACCTGAAAGTGATGACGTAATGCAATTAATATTCTTTTCTGTACGAATAAGCATTTATTTACGTGAATAATAAGAAATTTTACAATATTTAAATATTACAAATTAGAATTGTAGTTTTGAAATTATAAAATTTTAACATGAACTATACTAGAAAACTTTTTACAAATTATTCAATCTTAACATATTAATAACAGTATATTTAATGAAAATTGTTGTATATCTAATGAACGTAATTCTATTTTTGGGGCGTGAAGTGTGAAGTGTTGCATAAGTATTCTATCGCCACTTCCTTATACATCAAACAGCCTGCCTATTTTTCATTATTTCATTCTATCGCCAGTTCATTGCATCAAATGCCAGGATACAGATTATGCACATATGACATACTGCCCCAAATTTTGGAAGTTTTCTAAAACAAATTCAAACATAATGTGATTTACTGTATATAATATAATATATATATACAGCTACCATATGTGTAGCTACCTACATGTTCAGTGTACAAATCTCCATCATCTTAAAGTCGCTTTTACACATACATTTTTAACACTGACTGATTTCATTCTATCGCCAGTTCATTACATCAAATGCGAGGATACAGGATATTCATATATGATGTACTTCTTGGAAGTTTTCTAAAACAATTTGAAACATAATGTGTTTTATTGAATCTAATAATATATATACCACTCCATATGTGTAGCAACTTACATATTCAGGAGACAAATCTAAATCGTCTTCGAGTCGCTTTTGCACATACATTTTTTTTAACCTGATTGAATTCATTATATCTTCAGTTCATTATACATCAATACATCAATCAAGTTCATGCATATATGACATACTGTCCCCATTTTAGAGGTTTTCTAAAACAATTATAAATATAATGTATTTGTTACCAAATAATCTATATACAGCAACTATATATGAATCAACTTACATATTAAGAAGATAAATCTCCATTATCTTCAAGTTGCTCCTAAACATTACATTTTGAGCCTGTCTAAAGATCTGTATATTGTTCATCGTTTCATTCCAATTTTGTACGACTTCTGAAATAAATATGAACATGGCATACGTGTTTGCTGTTTATATATATTTGTATAGCTATTATATTTGTAGTGACTTACATATTCAAACAATCATTCTCGATCCGCTTCTCAACCGACTAATTTAAGAGATTTAAGAAGTGAGGTTATGTCGAACACATGGATATGTTAATGTCTTAATTTAGTAAAATAATTATTTTAACCTTGATAAACGATCCTTATTATTGTCCTCAGATTTGTAAGATATGCTATTTGGTTACCTCCTTTGTCATCTAAAGAAATCGACATAAAATAACGTTTCTTCATCCCAGGATATAATGCACTAAATGGAATTCAAAATCGTGAAGTAATTACATATCTATATAAATAATATATGATATACTTACAGTGTCATTTTTCTACACTTTTCTACAATTATCATAAACAAGTTGCTTAACTAAACGAATGTAATTATTATACTAAGAAAAATATAACTTGATGCATGATAAATTCGTGACATATTGCGCCATTTTGTAAGCGGTAGTTTAGCTTTCGTCAAAGAAACAGTCGGTTCCACCAGTGGCCACGGCGCGCTGATGTAAAGCTTTCTTTGTATGGTCACACACACCAGCACACCAACGCACACAACGCAGCGCACGACGCGTTTGCTTCACGCCGTGTGACGTCATTGATTATGCTTTGCATGTGTGCTAACACACACCAGCGCACGACATGTATCTCACATGAAATTCAACGATGTCATTACCCCCGACAGCGCGTGTTTATGTCTCGTGAGACAACTCAATGCGAGCTTTGCGTGTATTGTAACACACACAAGCGCACGCAAGTTTAAAATCCTCTTGTGGCGTAGATTCGATAACCGCATTATAATAACGATGTCGATATTATAGAAGATCACATCGCGTGTTTACTGGGCGGGGTGTTGTTTTTTGCCGTGCAGCGGAGTTTTACTCGAGAAATGATACACTTCAAGGCTTTAAGATTACTGATACTTATTCAACTTAGATTACAGTTTAAAATAATGATCGATATGAAAATTGTAGATGTTTTAAAATTTTGTTTTATTTCTATTTTAATAATTTTTACAACTGTCCTGAAACTGACAACAAGTAAAATATTTGACATAAAACTGAAGGCGTTGATAAAGTACAAATCATCTGACCATTGCCAGTGATTTGTCGAAGGTCTTATCTATTGTTGATTAATGCAGAAGACATTTTCTTTTTAATCGGGCTGGTAGAGTAGAGTGTCCTGAAGTTTTCTCGCGAGCAAGTTCGGGTGATCTGCTAGGCGATTTTTATATTGTGTGAGTAAGTAAGCGATTATTTCATCCTTAACTGTGGTAGTGCCTATGTCTTTGTGTATTAACCAATTTGGAACATACTTTGGTGCTTTCAAATTACTTTTAATAACTTGTTTTGAAATCTTTGAATTATTAAAGCGTTTGAGTTGGAAGTTGATCCCCATAGCTGTATGCCGTATGTCCAAATTGGTTTAATGATGGCTTTTATAGAGGTAAATTTTATTATGCGTGTCAAGTTTTGATTTTCGTCCAAGGAGCCAATGATATCTTCTTCTGGTTTCTTCAAGCTGCTTCCTCTTTTTCTAATGTGTTCTTCCAGGTTAGTCTCTTATCCAGGTGTAAACCTTTTGATATTTGACTGTATCTGTTCGATCTATTATTTCGTCATCAAGTCTTACTGCAGGACAAGTCCCTTTGCAAAGAGTAAAAGTGATGTATTTTGACTTGCTGCTGTTAACTATATTTCTCCACAAGCTTAACCATTTTGGTATCAAGTCAAGATGATTCTGCAGCTTTTTTGATGCAATTATGGTATCTTCATGTGTTGCCAGAATGCCTGTGTCGTCTGCATATGTTGTTGTCCAAATGTCATCTTTCTGTGTCAAGTTTGCATTGTATAGTGGCCAATGCAAACATCCTTGAGGCACTCCTGATCTGACTGGATGTGATGTGGATTTTTCACCCCTTACACTAACCTTTGATGTAGCGCTTTATGATTAGGTATATTGTAAAGTAGGCCGGAGTGCCACGCCTTATCAAATGCCTGACTAATATCGAGGAAAACAACTGAATAGTAGTCTTGTTTTGGTAAGCCTTGTTTATATTGTTGACAAATCTATGACTTTGCTCTGGTGTGCCATGTTTTTTTAAAAAAACATGTTCAGATAATGAAGTCATCATAAATAAAGTGTTTTGTTTTACTAATTAGGATCTTCTCAAATATTTTGGGCAACGTTGGAAGTAAACTAATTGGTCTATTCTTTAACCATCTTTAACTTTGAACTCTATTCGGATTTTTACCAGGTTTCGGAATATTTATGATTTTAGCAATTTTCCATTGATCAGGATATGATTAGGTCTTATTATACGGTTAACCCTCTGTCAGTGGGAGTGGTCTGGCCAGACTTTTTTCGACTTCAATTTAAAAAAATATATACTTCTAGTAATCCTATCGATTTGAAATTTTTTGATTTTTCCTAAAATTTCATTAGCTGTCGATCAATGAAAAAATTAGGACGAAAAATGTACAGAAGGATAATTATAAGAATATTAACTTTTTTATACTTCGAACGGTCGGAGTGGACCACCCATACATATGACGCGTTTTAATCAGACTTTTTTTCTTTTTTTCTGCTATTTTCTATTCAAACTGCGTTTTATATATTATTTGCTATGTGTTGTAACATGAATGTTAATATTTACACGTACACATATGAAAATGCCTTGAAAACCTATCAAACGTATTGGTTATCGCAAACATTGAAAATCAAAAAATAAATAATGCGCACATTATCAACCATTTTCTACTCGTACTGCGTTCGAAACTTTTTTTAGCAAAATGTAGCCGTAAGTATTCAGTTCAATTGAAATTATATTTCACTTTGAGTTTTACAGCTCATTCCAAAGGCGACGCACCTCATTTCGTTTTCATTTGAATTTCATTGATTTCACATTCATTTCGAAGGCGCCTAAGAAGAATAAATATTGTTTTTTCATTGATATAACAACAGAAAAATTAACAAAAAAGCAACGTCTTTTTTATATTCCATGATGTTTCTTAAAATATTTTTATTAGAGGCAAGCTCAACGCATGCAAAAGACGGTAAGAAAAAGAAAAAATCAAAATTATAAGTATTTATTACTAACTAGCTGACCCGGCAAACGTTGTTTTGCTAAGTAAGGTACTCAAAACAATTTCTATAGAATCAAAATATTAATACTTTGTATAAGGATGTGTTGTTTGAATGCTATATACAATGAGGTATTATAAAACAATAACCCCATTAGTTTGTCTATATTTTGTCAATACAATCAACTGGACGTTTTATGCTCTTTATAGAAAAACATGGTATAATCCAATCCTTGGTCTTTTTTGGTCTTTCGACTTATTGATTGCCTTTCAAATTTTTCAGATTCTTTTTGGATTGTGGATCTTGTGTATAATTGTAATTAATTAATACTACTGAGCTTATACAAAATTTTCAAATTTCTGCGAGAAGAGAATGAATTAAGTATTTCTTCTTGACCTGCCTTTTGAAAAGTTTCAAGTACATTTGATGAATTAAAGTAAATTTAATAAAAGTATATATGTAGATGTGTATATAGGGGTGTATATAAGGTCCAATTTGACTTTGAGCAAATATTAATCATATTGTGAAAACCAAAATAATTATATCACAACAAATAATACATTTAAAACGAACAATTATGGACTACGTTCAGTAAAAGTGTCAGCTACTTCATCATTGTAGAAATGTGTTTTTTGTCTTTTAAAAATTTGTTATCTAGATCTTTTTACCCCATAGACGGGGCAACTTGGAACGGCCAGGTGGCAAACAGGTTTAATGTCTTATTTTAATTTAAAGGTATTTTACGAAATAATTACATTTTTAACTAATGCTAAAAAGCTACCAGCGGAAGAAAATACTTTTTTATGGATTTTCAAAGATTACCGTTTATCTCCCGATAGCA